TTCCGTTCAGTTAACGAGCTGCAAGCGCGTATGCGTGCCGTTATGTCTTGCTCCAAGTACATGGTTCGCGGTCGCCTGCAGTCCAATCAGTGAACTGATGCAGTTTTATTGGCTACGAGCTTTCGCATGACCAGTGTGTCACATGGCAAGCTCGGTGCCGGAACGGATAAAACTCCTTAACCGAGGTTCCACTGTATTTGGAAAACAGTTCCGAATCCTGTATGATTGACAAACCTGACGTGGCTCAAATAATTTACCGAGGGAGGCCGACGAATACGCATTCTTTCTGCTGACACTAGACTGAACGCTTTGTTCGGCAAATTTACTACATGTATGAAGACGAAAGGCTTTAAATGACATGAATTCCGACCTTTTGCTCAGAGACCTGCGGGAGGAACCGGAAATTGGAAAAAACCATTGGTCCCTTTTTTTAGTGTGTATCATTAAGGAACTCCTGTTGGGTTACTAGTCGGAATGCGATAGGCAATGCGATGTTGTGGAACGATTTGGGGGCCTAGTAGATGAGGTCTGAAGCCAGCAGTTTACCGGTATTGACGAAAAGCGGTAAGAATACAGCAACACAACTAGGAGTTAGCCTGCTTCACTTTAAAAGAATTCCAGTCCGGTAAAAAAGACTTACCGTGGGAGGAGATTCCTGGCGGTTTGTTTAGCACAAGAATGTTCTCTGGAAGGCAAGCAAAATGAGGGCATTCTGATCAGTTTTGTTTAAACGGTGTACGTTACAAGATTAAAGCACTATGTGTGAAACTAAGAGACAGTAAGAGAGTATGGAGCGGAGGTACTAAAGTTGTGGATGACAAATGCAGCTACGGGGGCCAGGTCACACCATACAGCCGGTTTTCGATCAAGAGTTTGTGAATTAGGTAGGCACCCTCTACATAGTCATTATCTATACAGTTTCTAATCAGCAATTGAACAAAGAAGCTACAAGAAGGAACTCGGGACATTCGCATTTGGTGGACTAGGTAGGGGTTGCTTGTATGGCTCCCCGGACAAAACATGAGAACAGGAACCATCCAGGGAAATTAAAGGTTAGAGTTAAAGGGGAGGATTAGGGTTGCGTTTAATATTTTGATATGATAGAGTCCTCATATTTAGCGGAAGATTTTATTCGAGGGACCTCCTATTCCTTTGTCCTGTCGGGGAACGGAGCACTAAGCAAGTTCGACTTTGAAACGAGCTTGTTTTTTTTCAAATAGAAACAGGTCCTGCAAGCAAAGTAGGTCGAAAAGAACAGAAACGCCAAAAAACAGTTTCTGACTGGGTGGACCCCTGAAAGTCCATTCAGTGACGAAAACAACGCTTAATACAAGTACAAAGGACGCACCCAAGCTGAGAAATTGACATAAAGTAGCCAAATAAAATCAACAAACAGACGCCATCATCTGTTTGTATCAGAACTCCCTGATTGGGAAAAAGAACGTGCTTGGCGGAAACAATTAAAGGGGTAGCAAAGCCCAGTGTAGGCCTGAATCGCGCTGTGGCTGCCAGGACTGTGACTTGTTCCACTTCGATAGTACAGCGGAAATTGGTTAATAAGCGAGAACTAATTATTACAGCTTCCCTTTTTTTGTCTACCATCCCTTGCTGCATAAGTACTGGTCAGTATGAAACTGTCTGCGAGGGCTCGAGCTTTAGATCCAAGGCGCAAGGGGACGAGAACGTCTGGTAACCTGATTTGCAAAGTTCCTCCCCCCGCGATAGCGAATATTCCACATGGCAACCGGACCATGGATCTATTAGGCTTAATGCTTAGTAACGGAAAAGTGCGAGTTCAAGTCCCAAGGTATCCAAACCTGAGAAGGAGATGGCTGGCTGATGACGGCTAATGAGCTCAAAACAACCATTCCAGTCTTCCCTGTTTTTGTAGGTACTTCTTCTTACATGAACACTGGTCTTTGCGCGGCTGGGAACCTCAGCGTCCTACTTTTCTGCGTGGCATGGCCTGACTGCTAGCTGCTTCTATTCCTGGCCCACCTTAACCGTCAGGACAGTGTCTGGGCATTTAGCGAAACCATGCATAATCGACAGCAAAAGAACAAGGAAGTCCGCGAAATTATTGACACTAACAGCAAAAATAATGAGAAAATGGCAAAAGCAAAGGTATAATTCCATAACAACAGAAAGCGAAAGTGTAACTGCCGTGAAGACAGCCAATCCAGGATGCGTCGAAAGACCTATATGTGACGCCTTCGATATGACGAATGTGTAAAAACCCTAACTGTACCAGCAATTATAATCCTACCTCACAAACATACAGTTTTTCGCTTAAATTTAGTCATATGATGGAAGAGAAAAAATGAGGATATTAGAGAAACTGAAATAGCATGAGGATGTGTGAATAATGGCACATCTTGTCATCTTAAGCTTCCCTTCAGTTGAAGTCTTGCAGTGACAGTCCAGTAAATAAGTGAGGACTAACCTTGGCTGAAGATGATGCAGCGTCGTAGAACTTCCGTTGCCTCGTCCTCAGTCAGTTTGTAGAACTTCACTGCATCGTCGTCGGGAATACGAAAGCCCTGTGAATCGCGCCGGTTTAAGAAGACAGCTGCCTGCCGACCGCGGTCAAAATCGATCGCTGAAAAAGTAAAAATACGAGCGTCCGAGTTGAAAACAAGGATAAAAGTTCAATAAAGTCAAAATGGGGGTCTGGGGCCGCGGATTCGGAATCCGCAGCATGCGCGCTCTTGTAACGAGGCTTAATACCAAAGTCTGAGGATTGGAGATAAAAAGTAGCAATCAGGGGTTCTGGATCAAGAATCAAGTCGATGCCACAGGTGTCCATGTCATACGTGAATGAAATGGGCATCAGAGTACAATCTTGTGAAACGCCGGATCGAATATCAAACAGCGAATGAGACGATGGTTGACCAGAACTCACGTACTTGTGGAACAATAATAGGCACTGATCGTGGAGGCAATTTGTGTTGACATACTAGATAATTCCATCATCTATCACAGGGACTCACTATGAACGGAATCAGACGCTGTGGTGAATTCAACGAAGCGGAGGGCCGTTTGATTAATGTTTTCATGTCATGCTTGATAATGGCAAGGTCTGAACGTCGATTGTGTTTATGCCGAATTAGTTGCTGAACTCTGTCCCATATTACTTGTTGAAGACATGCACAAGAATGCTCAAGTCCCGGTCACTATTAACGACCGCATCTCCCCACGCTTGTTCAATCGCTCCGTGGAGCCAGCGCAGCAGATGATCAACGCAAGTTTTTGAAACCATCAGTGGGAATACTGTTTTCTCTTGACGGAGACGACCGTTTGGTTGCTGAAAGTGAAACTTACGAATCTGCCTTAGTGAGGATACTAAGCCGGTGTGTCCATATTCAGTTAGCGATCAGATATAGTTGGGTTGCGTCTTCGTGTCACGCCTGATAATGACAACGGCGAAGATCACCCCAACAAAGTCGATTATGTTTATACCGCAGTATCTCTCACACCTTATCCCATATAGCATTTTTAAGACAGGAACAAGGATTTCCAAGTCCCAGTCATTAGTAATGACAATATTTGTCCACGCTTCCTCATTCCTTGTACGCAGCTAGGGCGTATACGAAAGGATTGCAAACTTTGGTGGGAATACCGACCTCTCTAGACGCAGGATCTTTTAGAAAACCCAGTTAAAGGCATTGTTTGACGTCGAACTGAATATCGAACAGATGTTAACGGTGATGTTAGAAGGAAGGGACGAAAAGGCAGTCTTGGCAGGTTCAAAAGTTACCATTTCCGCACCAAAGAGCCAAG